GTTAATAACAATTAAAATATTTTATGATCAATATACTCTGAAGACATGATAATGGTGCAGAAGTACATAATCTAATTAATTAAAGAGTAAAGTTCACTGAAAGTAGAAATAAAGAAAAGACTAAAAGAATTACTAAATTAAATAAGAAATATATTACAAAAAATGAATTTCCAAATAAAGTTCTCTCTTTTCTAAATATTAAAAAAATTAATTGGATGTGTTGAAAATTAACTGTAATGATTACAAAATAAATTAAACGATAAGTAATTTTCTTTCGTTCGTCTTTTTTTTTTTCATCACAAAAAAAAAAAAGAAAGAAAGAACCGGAAGATGACAAACTGATGAATACATTTTCGAAAAGAGAGAAGAAAAAAAAAGGAAAAAGAATTAATTTGATAGAACAACTGAAATTTTAGGTATATATTTTGCGAGAAATCAATTTATAATTATTGCAAAGGAACTAAGAAAAAAAATGAAAGAAAGCGTAAGAGAAGAGAAAATGATGATTAGATTGGATATTTTTTGTTGATTAAATAAAAAACATTCCATCGTTGATTTTTTTTTCTTTTCTTTTCTTTCTCTCATTAATGGATTTACTGCTACTATTCATTCACTAAAATTATTTGTTCAATAAAGCAAGACAAAAAGAAAAAAAATGGGTTGTTATCATTGTCATTATCAATCACACTAATCACTGTCCCTTAGCAAATTTCATAGATCGTCAAACTGATCATTATTAACATAACAATTTTAATATAACACTTATTTCAATGAATTTCATATCAATAACGGACAGTTATTGTTAATGATTAAAAAGAAAATATCACAAAAAGAAGAGTTTAATCTTAATGCCATTTGTGTACTGCAAATAAAATTACTGCAAAAATATTAGTCATGTAATCTACAGTTAAAATATAATATAATTTCGATAAACTGTAATATGTTAGAAAAACGAAAACAAACAAAAAATCTAATTTAAAGTAAAATATCATAGATATATGCAAAATTCCATATGTTTTATATACTTAAAAAAAGATACCAGATGCCAAAATATAGCTTACATGAGGGAAATATTTCTCCCGGTGGAAATATATTTTTAAAAAAATAAGAAAAAAATATCGAATGAAAAAAGAGAAAAAGAAAACTGTTCAGCAAGGAATAGCAAACATCGCTCGTGAACATATATATACGTTGTTGATAACAAAATTAAATTCCACAGGTAACATTTGTTCACAAAATGTTGTTTAAAGAGTCAGCATTTAATATTTATCATGTTGATAATGGTAGGATGTACGCATGAATTGATATAGTATACAGCAATAATAATAACACAATTTGAAAAATAATATAATAATTAATAGTGATAATTAATAACAATAATAATAATAGCAATAATAAATAGTATTATTATTAATAAACACTAATAATAATAATAATAATAATAAATAGCATTATTACCAATAAATTAATTAGAGAAACATAACGAAGAGGAGAATAGAGGGGGAAAGAGTAAATTCTATTTCTTTTTTTAAATCGATGACAACAAAATGAACTAATGTTTTCCACCTTCAACCCCCCGCCCCGTTGCCCACTTTGCTTACCCGCTCTTCCGCTCTCCCAATCTCCCCATCCCTCCTCATAGATGGGAATAAAAATGAGCGCAACTATTATTTTTTCCACTCCCATCGTCAAAACTGCTTTACCAAGAAAGACCAGCGCGAGCGGAATCAAATTCCGCACCAATTTTGATTACACCGATAAGGCAATTCATTCCTTTTTTCATTTTTCCCCACCTCTTCCTCCCTGCCCCGTTTATTTCCAAAACGTATAAAATGATACACGTGAATCAGCAAATTATTTTCAATGTGTATATAAATATACATTAAGGCTTTAATTGATTAATTTATGTTGATTTTTAACTTTTTTTTCCAATTAATGAAGGAATTTTATGGTATTTTTTTGAGAAATTTCAAAAGTTTTTTTTCTGCTATCATTGAAATTTATTTGTCATCTTTATTTTTAACTTTCATTTTCATATATTCTCAATCAAAATATGAATTATGATAATGCAAAATTTTAATGCGAAATCGGAATTGGATATTCTCTTTATTATTTATTCTATGTTATCACATCCATTCTCATATATTATCACTCTATTCATATTATATTCCTAAAAGGTTATTTTATCTTGCATTTTAATTTTGGAAAAAGAAAAAATTTTTGTTATTAATGGGTTTTGTGAACGGTAATAATTAAGTGATGAATAATGCTATCGAATTCTTCAAACTCATTAAGGAAATCACATTCGATGTTATGAACTAGTTCATTTCATAATTTCAATATTTGTGAAAAATAATGTTAAACTTTGTAAACAGTAATTTAGAATCTGTATACATCTTCAATTACTGTAACCAAGCAGGTAGTCAGATAATTACTAAATGCATTAGCAAAATTATTCAATTTACTGAATGCTTGATATTTTATAAATAATTTTTAGCCATATATGTTTCATTCATACTTATTTAAATCTTAATTTCTAAATTCTATTTATACATGAATTAGTTTTATTTCTCTCTTTTTTTTCAAAATAAAAGATTAAGTGAAAAATTTTATTATTTTGGTATTTTTTTTTCTTTCGGAAATCATAAATTTATAAAAACGATGTACTTCTCTAATCTATAGTTACCTATAACAAAAGCTTAGTGTATTATGCTTGGTACATAGAAATAAAAAAAAAAAAAAAAATTGATGGAATAACAAGAATGATCATAAACACTACATCAGAATGATAACAATGACAGAAAAGAGAGAAAAATTGAATATCATTAATTTTATGTTATTATGAGCATATATAAAGAGGGAGAAAATGGAACTAATTTATATATATAATTTTTAAAAAAAAAGAAAAAAATACATTAATAACTTATAAAAAGTATAAGAAATAGCAGTAAACTATATGATTAGTAATAGTTCGGTTGAAATTGAGCAATTAGTTTAAAATTTCCCCTTCACCTAATTAAATGAAATGATCATTGTTATCATTAACAATATTTATGGTTGTAATGATATGATTGTAATATCAATGCGCTTTTTATATTTCTTCTTTTTATGTACTATGCCATATTAATATTTATCACTTAAAATTTTCTGCAGAATATATTTATATCTTCACTTATTCTCATTATCATTACTTATTACATTAATTTCAATAGTGATTTAAAATAAGTAATACGAAAATTTCTTATCATAATAATAAAAGTAATTTAATTTTTTTCACTAATACTCACCACAGAGATAGTAGTGATAATGATAAGGAAGATATTATTGAAAATAAATTGCTGAAAGAAAATATGATTTGCATATTTTATTTATTTGAAGCAGTGAAATTTAGGTTTTTCTGCTATACAAGTAAATAAATGTCAAACAAAAATTTGTTGTGAAAAGGTCACGCTAATGATGAAATGGATTGTAATTAAAAATGAACAGATTTCTGAATTCAATTAATTGATGAATCATTCGAAAAAATTGGAAAAGTTTGATTAATGAATTGGTTAGATTTAGTTGAAAATCATAAAAAAACTTTAGTTTAATTTTTTTAAAGACAGCTAAATAGAAGCGATTTTTGCTTGCTTTTTTTAAATGATTTTTTCAAAAGAAAAAGAAAAAATAAGAGGAAAATAATTTCTGATCAAGCAAATAATGTATATGTATCTATGCTCATAGAGAAATTTAAAACTGTAAAAGGTTGAATCATTTTGAATTTTATAAGCCAATAAAATCAGTAAATCCATGAAGCAGCCATCTTATTACAGAAGTTTAAAAAGACTAAGTATCTGTATGTATTAAAATATGTGGTTTAAAAGGAAAGTTAACACAAAAAAGTTGCAAATGAATTTTTGATGAATTGAAAATATCGAATCTTCGAAGATTTACTTTTTAGTTTTTTCATTTTTATTTATTAATGACATCTATAATGGTTTCAATCGCTTTAATCGCTGTAATTATTACACTGAAAATAATAACAATTAGATTCGGAATATCTATAATTATGTATCGAATTGGTTGGGAATCGTTTTTACCATAATCAAATGTAAAATAATAATAGTATGCAGTAATCAGATTAGTTAACATAATTTGTAGATTATTGCAAAGTTTGACCGATTCCACATCAAGACATCACCTAGTTTTATCTCATAAAACTAAGATTAGATCATAACAAGTTCTGTATTATTTCTTGTAGTGTTTCGTTAATTCCAATTCATGAAAGTCAGTTAATTCTTTATATTATCCAAGTTTTGGAAGATGACTTTGAAACGACCTTGAAACAACTAAGTGACACACTTTCAAAATTACACAGATATTATCATTCTCACCATTCCCAATGAAAGGACGCATTCAGCTTTCGAAAATACTATGTTCCTAAAATATAGCAATACACATTTTATTCCATTAAATGCAATACAATACAAATAATATCCATACACATTCAAATTATCAAAACAAAAATAAAGTATCAATGTATCACTGAGATCATCTTTTACGAAGCACCGCAAATCCTTATAAAAAAATTTAAAAAGAATAAATTAAAAAAAAAAAATACCTAACATTATAAAATGCTATATATGAATACTTCAAAGAACTAGTCTAAACAAGTTTTGGTTAATTCAGACGCTTGAAAAACGTAATCCGAGAAGTGCCGAATACAAGTATCAGGCTTCAAGCAATTTTGAATAGCACACAATGCTTTTGCTAAATGCAGAATATTTCAGCTAAATTCCTTAAAAAAGCTGCAGACCTGCTTGAAAAAGGATTAGAGAGATAGAAGTTTAAGAGCTGACCTTAAGATAACAACAAATCCTCAGAGAGGATTCAAATTGTATTCGAATGCCACAGTATCAGGCAAACAGTTCATGCAATTGCTTAAATAATTCGACATATTACTAATGTTGTACAAAAAACGAGTGTAAATTATTATAAAAAAGGATAAATAATATGAAAAGTCAAAGTTTTTTATATGAAAAGTGATAAAATTGTTTTACTCTTGGTTTGTAACAAAAATGACTAATAATAAAACCACCCAACATGATTGAGAGAAGCAGAAAATAAGCAAACAAATCTGGTGACCAGCCAATTTCAGGAGGCCGTGCATGACGTACAGACGAAATGAACGAATCACGTACCCAACGGCCATAACTAAACTGTCGAAACTTTTCTTCCGCTGCAATACCATATACAACCACCGGCTGATCAGCTAGATAGTATTCAGGCCATGGTCCACGATCCAATAAAAAACGAAGGTAAACTGCAAGCGCGCCCGCAGCAACTGTTGCAGAATGTGCTGAGCATATATCTGAAACTGAAAAAAGAATGCTACAGCAGGTTTTACCTGTTTAATCAGTTAAAGCAGCTACAGTCAGAAAAATATGGAAAGAAATTCAAATCATCACTGGATCCAAAAAAAACAATATGACAAAATTAAAAACTCCGATTTTAAATTTCCACTTCCTCAATTTTTTGGAGTTTCATAGCAGTTAAACTTTTCACGACATGATAACTAAAGAATTTTAATAACAAATAGCTGTATCTAACAACACAACTTGGTTTTCCACTAAATTTTAATATTTAGATTTAACTAAAAAGCAAAATATTTGAGTTAAGATAATCAAATACCAGAATTTAATCCATCATTTCTGTACGAATTATTCACATCACCGATCATAGTATCTGACTTGTCATTCATAAAGCACCCTAGCGTAGGATTCTGCCAACTTAATATGGATGCAAAGAAGTGAAGCGATGAAAGCTCAACAAAACCAAACTGGCCACAAGTGAAAACTGAAATGTATTAAATGCCAGAATTTTGAAAAAAAAAAAAAAAAAAAAAACCACAGTTACAGAACAAAACAATCTCTTATATTTCTGAGCTGAACTGGTAAAACTATCATGGTAGCGTGCCAAAAGCTCTGGCAAATGAAGCAATAGAAACAATTAATAAAGCTATAATTTTGTTAATCGACTTACGTAGCACTGTAGTAATATCTCTAAAACACAACTAATAAGACGTGAAATAAAGTAAAGCATTTCATAACGTAATGTTTAATAAGTGATTACTTTGTTCCATTAGTAAATCACGCTCATCGGAATTAAGCCTAGCCGTAATCCTGGGATTTCGTAACAAAACAGTTAGTTCATCGACCATATTTGTGCAATGCTCTGTGACGAAAGATGTTATTGTTTGATTTCTTGTTAAAAAGATGAAGTTAGATAAAGTGGAACTGCAGGAAGTCTGAAAATTCAACATTTATTCCAAAAAAAAAAAAGAAAAAAAAAAAAAAGCAGAGGTTAGTTAGATGATGGGAAGAAATGAATAGCTGAATGTTGACATCCTTAACTTCTCCGAGAATCCGATTTGTTTAAATCCAAGATACAGCAAACAATTAGCAGAAAGTTTTTCTTTTTTTTTTTTTTTTTTTTTGGAAATTTTCCTATGCCTACAGCATAAATAAGAACTAAATTCAATATCTATATGCACAAGAAAATTGAATATGAATATATACCTGAAGAGCGATAGAAACATATAATATCTGGCGCGTCAACTGATACCCTGTAAAACCACGTTGGTTAAGCATCCGTTCCATACAGTCAATACTTAAATGACAATTGTAAGGCTTCAGCGTCAAGTTAGAATTTGCCAAAAGTAGCTCAATGAAGCACCTGAAAAAGATGTCAAAAATCAAAGAACACTCCAGTATATGAAAGTTGACAGACCATTATCGCAATTGTGAATACCTTAGTGATGAGCAGAACTTAACAAAAAATAACCACCCAACAACGTTATTCCTCGGAAATTTCAATGTAAGATTCTAACTGTATCCCCATTGGATAGAAAAAAGTGCTGATATCGCTATAAAATATCAAAATTTTTTGATTTCGTTTTCAGAATCCAGGCCAAGAACCAGAAAAGGATTTTCGTAAATTATTAAAAAAATATTCAAAAGGAAAAAAATAGACCTGCTACTTTGTTTTTCTGCGAGTAGAATAGGAGGAGGAAAAATCTTATCACTTTTGCTAGTTTTTAGTTGTTTCTCTTTCCATCTAAATCTTTCATTGGTACGCTGCGGTATAAAATTCATTTTATATGGTCGGTGAAGGAGGAACTGATACTAAAGAAAAAAATACTGCAATTTTTATCACAGATTACATTTCAGAAATAAGTATGTAATGCACGACACACACAACATGTATATAATTAAGATTAATGGAATGTTATCTTTTACCAAATTACGTTCAATAGGATACGTTGACTTTATCATCGAATGATCTGCTTACTCAGCATTTAATGGCTAGTTGATCAAACATATAATTATTTAGAGAACAATGAAGACACAGCATAAAAGTAAAAAGTGTATCCTATTGAATACGTAAAAAAAATATCAAATTATTAGAAACAAAGAAAAGTTTAAAACCTCATTAAAATATTCCCTATCTCGACTGGCAACAAAAGGTAAAGATTTGTTTGCAATCATACTAGCCATTAAACTCAGATTACGTATTTCATCCATAATTTCTGAATCCACACCACGACCGTCCACATGTTCCTGTATACTTTTTAGATGACCTGCAATTTAGATAGCACTAAAGAAGCCCTAAAATATAACTAAATTCTAAAGTAACCTTATGAAATGACTTCTCAAGAGTAGCAGGAGATCCCTATCCTCAGACCTTTCCATTTGCAAAATTATCTAATGTTCCCCTCCTAGTCTTCAGCACATCTCAGTAATAACTTATAACAAAAGTTAACCTTCAATAATTCGTAAACCAAATAAACCATCAGCGTTGAGATCCTTGTAGCAACTATTGTAATATTGCTCAAGCCCATATAAAGCATTCAGAACTAAAGCAATTAGTCGAGCGCTATCCCAACTCCACTGCGTTGACACCATTATCAATTTCCGTCTTTTATTTCAACCACTTATAAGCATAGGCAATCGACCCATAATTATATTTGAGTTGGAAACTAGCTCACAGTTCTATGCTATACAACCAATGTTGTATGTTAACTGCAGCGATTTCGAAGACAACTGTAAAAACAAGGTATTACAAACATACCAAGTGCCAAACACTGACACGCCTTTATAGATGAAAGAATTAAAATAAACAAAAGAGAAAGATCTAATGTCGGAGAAAATTTATCTGAAAGAAAATTTACCAAAACTGCACCGGAACCTTTAAGTAGATATAAATGAAGTGTTACCACATTCGTTGGATAAGGAAAATTCCCAGTAAAACCGGAAGAAAAAGACACAGCATACTTTTTATTAAGAACGTTAATAAAACAAAACGAAAACAAACATTCGTTACAATACTTCTCGTGCATTTGAAGTTCTCACAAAGATCAATTGAAAAAATGTAAGACGAATCTTACAAAAAAATGAAGTTAGGTCTGATTTGTCTTCCCCTTGTTGAATTTGAAATGACTCCCCTGAGAGAGGAAAATAAGAATGAAAATCATATGCATGAAGTGAAACATCAAATAGCAACCAGCGAATAACCAAATGCCGATAAATTATCAGTAGCAATAACCATGCACAACGATAACGAGAGACTTCAATTTCAATGTTGCATTTCGCTACTTTCTTCAGCTCCACCAACCCACAGTACATTGTTGCACCTGAATTAAATGATACTTTCTGAACATAAAAAGCATTAATTCATACCATCACAATAAGGATATTTTCAAATTGGGCAAATACCACTACGCAGACATAGAAAATTAAGTCACTGTATATATATATATATATATTAATTTTAAGCTGCGCACTTCCGGAATGAAATAGTTCTCTCAAAAATTTATTTAAGAAATGTCTATTCCTGACAAAATTTGTCAGGAATAGATATTTCTACAACGATCATAATACATATCTAAAAAAATGAACCTAATTAAAACTTCTCCAACATCACCAGTATGTCGACCATCTATGTATTCTTCAGCGTTGGCTAGTTGCAAGTTCATGTAACCATCAACAGAAACAAGGTACCCTGAAATTATCCTTCTTGCTAATCTTGTTACATTGTTTCGCAATAAAAGTTGTACATTCCTTAATTTATTCAAGAATCAAACTGATATCATATTAAGCCTATCTACTGCCGTCTTCTTTAGGATATTAAAACACTGCAATTAAACCTATAATTTAATTTTGTCTCATACATTACACATCATGTCAAACCAGGACATTAGTTAATAGTGAGAAACTGAACGCAGTCAATGAAAAACATTCACTTACCTTTATATTCCATACCCCATTTCAGTTTGCAAACAACCGGTTTGCCGGTTAGTCCATTCAAGAATGGCTTTGGATTAACTGGTTGTAGTGTCGTCATCGTCAATACTGTACCTGCAGAAACTACTAGTAGCAGCAGCAGCATTTACTTCATTTAAATGTGTCGCATCTATAGCTCATTAGAGAATCTTGTGTTGGAATCCAACAAGATCCCACGTAGGATCTATAAGTTGGCAGACTATTCCTTTCGTATATTTTCCGTTCCTTGCAACGGTTTTCCCTGCATACTCTCCCCATGAAATTTCATCGAATCTTTTATGCTAATATATTGCACTGCACCCATCGCCGTAGAACTTACTACCCTTTTCTGCACAATTATTGGATTTGAAACTCAAAACCTCTGCATATTTTCTCATCCCATGATTATCCGATTTTCTCCTGTCATGAAAATATTCCTAAACTCTTTTCAACTAATATTCCTAGCATCTTTTTCATGGATTACATTTGTAAATTTTGAAAGAAAAGTTTTCAAACCTCCACCTATACTTCCCATTATATTTTCCAAGTTATATTCTTATTATACTTTCGTTTATATGCAATATTGTATATTTTTAAAATTGATAACTTCCTCTGATTTGTTTAATAGGCAGGTATTTGAGCATTAGTAGTATGACACTGTACAAATTGCTAATATCAACTGCAGTACCACCACTAATGAATTCTTATGGTAAGCCACAAAAGCAGTAATAATTATGGTCAAGTTAAAAGCAAACAAATGAAAATGGAACTGAAAGCAATCAAACATAAAATCAGAAAAACTGGTGATATTCTGGTTGCACGCAACGATGAGTGAAACTACATATCCCAAGTCGATAGGAATTCGCATATTTTATCTAATAATTCCAATCTTACCTAATTTTCGAAATAATTGTCAAAAAACAATGTGGTAACTTTATTATAGTTGCTTTATCTAATTTTTGTAATGTAATAGAACGTCCGTCAATGTAGTATTGATTTTAATAATTAACTTATTTCAAAAGTTAAACATTGTTGACGATACTGAAAACCAGTTGAATAAATCTCGATTATAGATATTACGTTATGATACCACTCATCATATAATGTTATGAATATAAAATTTGAAAATCTATGATAGAATAAATCGTGATAAACTTTAATGAATACAATAAAAATTGAGAAATGATAACGCATGTGAAAGACAATGAAATAAAAATTTTGTTTAAATTTTCGTCAATTTATTAAGTGAAATTCAAAATATTTGTACTTTACGAAATTAATAATAAATTTGCTTTTTACAAAACTATTAACATTAGCAGTTGTAGCAAGTTGTATAAACTGTGTTTATGATAGCTTAGTAATGCAAAAAAATGTACGTTTACGACAAATTAATAATGCATAAATGCGCACTTGTCATAAATGTTGAAAATATTTTCTACTTAAATAATACATGTATTTTTTGGGTTTTGTTTTTTTTTTTTTTTTTTTTTTTTTTTTTTTGCTTATGACAAATTAGCAATGCGAAAATGCATATTTGCTATCAATTTACGTTGTATGTTTGTTTTGAATAAGTTATCATGGACTTTTTGTTTTAGGTAGTGAAATGTGCATTTGAAACTAAAAATAAAAAATGAATACAAAAGTTTCAGTTATGTCAGATGGAGTCACCGGAAATGTTTGATTCAAAATACCGCATTTAAAAAATATCTTATTCACAAGATTGGTCACGGCCTGTGATAAACTGCAAATAACTGGAAGCAATAAATGAATTTGCTGACTATAATGAAATAAAAACAAGTCGAAAAATGATTTCAACTCATCATAAAGAACGATTTATAAAATAGATACAATGACCAATATAGAATTGCAATTTCATTTTTGAATTGTGATAGTGATAAAAGAAAATGATGAAATAAATCAAATAAAAAACTAAATATTCATAGGGATAGAAAATAAATAAATTAATAAGTAAATAAGAAGGACTACAAGAGCAAAAAAAGAGAAATGAAAATTCTGAATTTCTATTGTCGCGAAAAAAAAGCCACTGAAGCTATAAATTCTACTACATTAAATTACTATATTGCAAATTTTAAATTAAGGAAATGCATTCGACATTCAAATCAAATATATTTTTAATGTATTATGAAGACAGCATTGAAATTTCATAAGACAACTGTAAGACTTTCATCAACATGGAAAAGTTACGGAGAAATAACTGATACAAATTTTATGCTTGTAGAAGTTCCATGTGGAATAGAGTACGGCTGGGAACAACAAATATTACGTAGTAACATCTTCCCAGTCGACATTATTGATGTATTTTCTCAACGTTAGCAAAAACTTATGTTTAAATATGTTTCGTGCATTGACTAGTTTTTAGAATCAAAATATTTCAATCAATAGATGAGAATAAATGCTCATAATGCATATTTTTCTAATATGTAAAGTTGCAGGGAATTAATCAGTACAACAAAATGTGATATATGAAAAGATATATTTAAGATTAGAGATTTATTAAAATTCAAGAATCTAATCACAGGGAAATTTTTATATTTTATTAGAACTTTATGTTTCTAATGAATGGTTATTATATCACATTTTAAATGTTGCCAAAAACATGCGATTTCAGAAGAAAAATAATGTATTAATGGATTTGCTTAATAATACAAAGATTCTAAATTCTCACAATTTGTAAAAGATTGGTAGTATCCATGTCACATTATATATATTGCTGTTTCGCTTTCATTGATACTGCCCTTGTAAATTTATTAATATTCAAAATAAATTTTATATGTTAATGGAGTCGGAAAATGTATTTAGTCGTGTAACAGTGTTAACAAAGTTAAATTGGATAAACAATTTTAAATGATAATGGGCAGAAAGAATAACTATGTGCAGCAGATACGTTTCGATCCACACATAAACAAGTCAGATTAACTGTGTTGTAATTCAATTAAGAGTCAAAATGCAACAGCGACTGATAGATCGTAAAATTGCATTGACATGTTCGGTCAACAAAACATGGATCACAGGAGTTTACAAGCGAAACATGAGGAGTTTTCCAAAGATTCAAAAGGAGTATAGATCAACAGAGTGAAGTCAGTTTGTTTGCATAGGTTTTATCCGACAATTTTCCAATGGATTCGATTCGACAATATTCGACAAATCCACAAATCAATAGGGATAACAATTCCATAGAGAATCGATATGAAAGTACGACAATTTAATGAGCATTCAATCTTGCTTTTCTTAATCTTTATTGCTTATTCATTTTTTTTTTATAAGCGCGATATTTTACAATAAAAGTAAATTTATTGTTGACGTTGCGGAATTACAGCAAAAATACAAAATTATATTATTAAAACTTTCCCCGAGAATAACAACTATTTATTTATTAATAAACTAAAATTGAAACAAATAACGAATTAAGCAAATGATCATAATCATATCAAATGATCTTTATTTGCCGTATTGATATTTAGCAAGTGCTATGAGTACAAGATGTGATACATTCAGTAATAGGTAGTAGGTAACATGGAATTATAAATTACATTCAGTTGTAGGTAACATGGAGTTATAAATTACAACAAGCATTTTTACCAGCATTATTTAAATTTTTAAAAATACCATTTAATTGATTACTTTTTATTTTCTTTTCATTGAAGCGATATTCACAATGTTATTTGCAGCTGTACATATGGCTGCTGTGTTCAAATCATTTCTCATTGTTTTTGTGCGTAATCCCATTGTATTTGTTGACAAACTTATTGCATTTTGTTTCATCAACAAATATCGATTGAAATATACGAATGCCAAACTAAATATCATAAAAACGATTATTTGCTATCTTGCTAGAAAAGCTTACTGTCTTTGGAAAACATTCATTATAAGGTTTTAAGCGATCCAAGAATAAGTCTCAGTTTGATAGTTATGAAAAACTTAATCAGCAGTATAGAACTTGATATTTAACGTCACATAGTTTCAACTTGCAACCTTATTAAAATCATTTACATTTGATATTCGTTTGCCGTTTTAAATAGTGCTTACCCATCTAATGTGAGTATTGCAAGCCACGTGTACGTGATTTTGGTGAAACGCGACATAGGTAAATTAAAACGGAAAATAACTACAAAAAATACATGTATGATAGTACTGGTGCAAGTCTGAAATATGTTTTATTAAACAACACTAAACGTTATGCAGTACATTTGCTATTTATATATGCATAATTAACGTTAGATGTGAAATACGAGAAGTGTATCATATAGGTTCTTTTATGATTTCCAGTGATTTTGATGCTTTCCAAAAGCTTCCATAAACAGTCATAGTGGAAATCATTTAGATTTAATATGTAGAAGACAATTTATTTTTACCTCTTTAAAAAATATGATTTCTCTCTTCATCCTTCTTTGCATTCCATTAGCTCCTTCACTATTTTTACCCTAAAATATGTTTAATACAAATTAGGTAACAATGTTCGTACTAATAGTAAAATTTTATTTCAAAAAAAAAAAAATTTCATTTCAAATCCGATACACACAAATTACGCAACCGCATAGAGCTAATGAAATATTTAATCATTGAACGGATCAATTTTCGAAATATCGAAATAAATGCATAGCTTACGGTTATAAAATCGAAACATACTTTGAAATAAGTGATGATGCGATAAAAAGCAATGGCATCGATAATAACAGTGATAACGATGACACCATCGGACAGGAACATAGCAATATAAGCGAAGAAAGGATGATTACATGGTCCATAAAGGTTTGACCATGAATGAATATAAGCTTCGACATAAAGCAGGCATTCGACTATGAGTTAAAATTTTCGAATTTAGATAAAGAGATGAAGAAGGAAGATAATCTAAGTGTTGCTGTATCTTATTTTAAAATGATGAAAGCGAATACCGTTGTAATAAAGCAGAGTGATTAGCATACTAAATGACCATAGAGATATGACTGTTATCCAAGCATTTTTGGGATTAAAAATACGATGATATTTCATCGGATATGAAATTGCCCAAAGTCGATTGATTGCCAAAACGAAATGCATCCAAATGGCCGCATACAGTGTTGAATTGGAAATGGGAGATGCTATTCGAATGAAAATGTGCCATGGAAATGATGTGAATCCCAAGTTTCTGATAAATTTCATATAGTTTTTGATGTAAGAATAAATAAGGACTAAGAAGAAGCGAAAGATAGGAGAAGGAAGAATGAATTATACTAAGTTTAAAAAATGTATTGAATCAATTTTCAACAAACTATTAAATCTTATCAAGATATCAGTAATTATTTATCAATGATGATTAAGGAATATCTAGTAAGAACTGAATGAACTTTCAAAAGAAAGCTTTTTGATTAATACTTGCTGACCTAAAAAAGTACAACCAATATGACCGATAAATTGTGTTTTGAGAGGTAAGTTATTTTTTGATGGGTAAATGAGAATGCGCAAGTGACTTACACAATAATTCTAATAATTGTCCAAAGGAGTAACGCACTGAGAGTTTGTATGTGAAATGAGATGTAAGCAGTGAATAGAATCCCAAATGCGTTACGATACCTCGGTGATTTATTAATGATATAAAGGGTTATCCCATATGCAAATAATCCAAGCAATCCAAGCTGAAAAGGAAGAACCTGGCATTAAGCTATGTCGCACAAGTAAGTATCTATACTCAAAATAAATCTTAGATGGAATGGAAACGAATAAAAAGTAAAACGATTTATTTCTCGCGAAATAATTTTAAAGATTTCAAATGTAATTTATAGTTAGAAAATATTGCTACTCATAATTTAATCCATTCAAAATTTTTAATTTTTTTGCTGAATATTAATGAGTATTTAAATTATACCGGTATAGCGAATGCATAGGTAATAACATTGGCATCAAGCTGTGTCCGATTTCCCATTCTCCTTCATCAGATTTGAGAGTAAAGTGCAATTCTAATCTATTGTGCTGTCATTTAAAATCAAGTAGAATTACATTTTGTCAAATTCAGTCATGCATTCAGTAAATAACATGCAAAAGTGAGATCAACCTGAATTTGACATAGAAACATTCTGAAAAGAAGAATGTTATTGACATGGCAATCTATTTATTATGGAAGCCATTTTAGCCTTATTGAAATTGCAAGGAATTATGTCTATGAGTCAAACAGTTGTATAACAAAAAAAAAAAAAAAATTATAAAAAAAGTGATACATCTGGAAAAAAATTAGAGCAGTGACATGTGAAGGCAAAATTATTTTCTGATTAGTTCCAAAACTGTGTGTAAGTCTCAGATTGAAGATAACTGAATTATTAAAATAAAAAATCAAATTAAGCTGCTAAATCCGTTTGGAGCGATATTTTCGCTATTCTTGGAAATATTATTTTCAATAAAAGTTCGAGTGGAATGAACAACTTAAATTCTTATAGTGCAGATTTGATTAAAAAACAGTCGAATAACAAAAATGGCATTTTAAACAAAAATTTGAACTTCTAGCTGCCATTAAAATAATATTTTCGAATACTTTGTTGATCAAGGGAACAAAAAAAATTACTTTTGCCTCAAAATGCTTATATAATTTCAAATACTTATGCAAATACATTGTGAAATTCAATACAAATATATTGATATTTCTGAACACTTCCCTGGTCTCTTTATCTTACTTTTTCAGATAGCGATCGATTATTATGCAGTATTAATTCCTATTTTCAAGACAAAAACAAATGAAGAGTCCACCTACTTCACAATTCTGTCAGTAATTTTTTTCGACAATTATACATGAGCAATTTATTGATAATTATAGACAATATATGAGTAATCACATATGAGCACTATGAGCACTTAAACATGATTAACCAATTAACTATAAATGCACATTTTCATGAATAATAAAATATGCATTTGCGCGATCATTTGAGCTGTTTTTACATGGCACGAATATGACTATAAACATTTCTAGTTTATTGCGTTCTATATCTTCGTTTCTTAAAAAAAGATGGTGAAATAATCATTAACTAGCCACAAATGTGTCAGAAAAATCGAATATAATCATATATAGAAATAAAATTGTATAAAACTGAAAGGACTAAAGATTGTCTTAATTTAATATTTCTTAGACAAATATGAAACTGTGTTTCAAAATTATATCTCATTTAAGCAATCCATTTATACAACAGCCACCTCATCCAGTTGTAACTGAGCTTATCTACATTGTCTAGAAACTTTCATTTATTTTTCAATTTTCAAAAAACTTCCGACTGTTAACAAAGGGTATGTGCACTGCTTAATATGTTGAAAGTTGTTTTTTTGTTCGCAATGTTGAAATGTTGTAAACGTTTTCTAATCTAACGGTTACACTTATGAGCAATTGATATCATGTTAAAACCCATCTCTGAAAGAGCAAAGATCATCTGACAGTGACAATTCTTTACTCACTGTAATCATGCGCTTTTGTCGTAGGTTTGTTAAGGATTTAAATCTTTTGTCTGTTTTTTAGTACTGGCAAGCTTCGTCTTAATTAGTCTTGCTAACTATTCACTTCTCTTTATTTATATTCTTCATTTGTTTTTCGTGTTTATTTATTGCTTCATCCTATACTAATACACAACGTCTCTATGAAATTATCAGTGCATTGTTAATATAAATTAATACTTTGTGTAAAGTACTTGTTAGTGAATAAAATTTTAGATTCCAAATCACAGTCAAAGAAAACTGCCTTAACAAATCTCTATAAGTTCTGGACAGACTGTCTAAAAAGTCAACAAGTGTACATTTGCGTACTATCAATTTGTTACTCTTTTATTATATCAAAATTGTTTCTGCTAATACCTCTCTTACACTGCAAATTTAAATCATTGTAAAATGGTGTTTAAGACGATTTCAAATTTTGACATTATTACGACTGAAATTGAATTTGCTGACTGTTTAAGTGAAGTATAAGATGAAACAGTTCATTACACACAACAAACAAATGTTGCCAGATTTCATTTGCTTATGGCTTTGAGAGTCTCTTCCAAATTGAGTTTACGTCCAGTTCAGTTCTCACTAATTGCTCAACATTCCTTAACTAAACGGTGAAAAGATATCAAAAGCGTTCAGACTATTCCTTCAAAATGAAAGTTTCTCTGTGGGAAGAGCGAACGGCCATCTGAACTGAGAAAGGGACTGTGAATGTGATATATTGGTTCATGCACTATTTTCAAAGCTTTCGAAGTTCCTTGTGGTAGCAAAAATTTGCATATGATTGGGTCTGCTCTGCTTGACTTCATTAATCTACCACCTATTCTCGATGTTTTAAAATTTCTGTTGAAATTTGCTATTTGCAAGACTACTTGCAAGACGAGAAGCTACTCTTCTGAATCCGTAGATTGTTCTCATCGAACAAATTTTTAGATTTCTATGATGAGAATCCTAGGCAGATGTATTTTTAATATGTTGCCAAAAGTATTGCAGAAGAATCTATGGTCAGCAAGTGCTGGTTTGAAGTTTAACTTGGAAGTTGTCTCATTGTAGCAATTTCAAAAAAATTAAAAATTCGAGGAGGTTTTGTTCCTCGCCTGTTGCTACGGGGCTTTGTGGTAATATCTCTTTTGAACTAGTCACATTCATTACACCTGAAGCTAATTAGTTAAGCCAAACAAGTTGAACGACTATGGCGAAATCCTTAGTTATAGCTTTCTTTAAAGTATCTTTTTCATAAATGAACGGCTTTACAAGGTAAACGAGCTTCATAATGGGGGAAGACTTTACGTTAAAAGTAATGAATACGTGAATTTGCTTATTTTAAGTGTTCTGTCACAAAAACAAAACAAAAAAAAAAAAAAAAAGGAAACAAAAACAAAATCAAATAAACCAGAATTTATTATGTATTGGAAATTTTGTTTCCAAATTATTCCATAAATTTTCTTCAATTTTATTTATATTACTTTCTTACTTTTTCCCAAAATTTCATTGATAAAGCTATTGGTACCAATCAGTTTGACATTAAGCCAAATTTAAACAAAATTTGGTGAAATAATTTGTAATATAAATTGTCAAGGCTTTGTGAGAGGTTTCGGGGAACTGCCAAGCCTTTATCAATGGTATCAGAACGAGGATGAATCTTGTGAAATTTTTTAGTAAAGAGTTGTAGCGAGAGGAATGTCAAAAGAAGTGGGAATGGTAAAACATGTGACAATTTTTGGAAAAGTTAGAAAAAGTGCTGGAAGCTGGAGAGACACACACATACGAGAAGGCGTGGCACAATTCTCATGGAGTTCTACCTCATCTAATTAATGCCTTTTTTTTTCATTCTGACTGTCCGGAATTCGTCTTTATCGGAATGTTGACGAAGTCCGGTCAAATGATTTGTTTTATAAGTGATTGGTTTTCAGTTAGAGTTCCTGGAATAATATTGCGATAGTGGGAATAAAATTTGTTGAAATTTAATGTTTGATTTATAAGCAAAGTACCGGAAAGCTCTTTGATTTGAAGTAAAAAACCAAGAACATTGTGGAAAAAATTTTTCATGTACTGTTATACTTTCATTTGATCAATTTTCGGCGATCCGGAATTCTTTTTATCAGGATTGTTTTTTTACTCTTTTCAATAAAATTTTCCTAACGATAGTCGTTGAGACTCTGTGATAGCCCTGCTGTATTTTATAATAGTTTAATGGTTAGATCAGAGAGAAATTGCATTTGTCGGCAGAGGATTCATAGTGATATTATGGTTAAAAATTCATAGCTAAATGTGAGAAAAGTAATGTGAATATCTTACATTCCTTAATTATTAATTTGCATCGTGAAAATGGCGTTTTCAATAATATTTAAGTAATAAGTGTTCACCAATCAATACTAAATTAAAGATAAAACTGATTTCAAATTTGCTATAAAATCAAAACATTAGGATGGATTTGGATATATGGCTCAAAAACTCTAAGTGTTGTTCGAAGAATCAGGAATCAACGGTTAATGATAATTACAAAGATGCGAAAATGTTGGAAAAAGAGATCCAAACGGAGGCGGAATTCGTTTTCCGGAATGGTGCATTGAAATTAATTGCTGAATGTGTAAAGGAATATGGAATTTCAGAAACATATAGGTATTGTCCTTTAAATTCAGATATCATATAAATCCACATGTCATTGAATAATTTATATTTGCTACTCAAACAAGAGTACTACAAGAATGACTTCTTAGCATCTTGAATAATTTCATTATATTAGTAAGATATTACCCAAAAATCTAGTATACAATATTTTTCTGTTCATGCTGTCACTATATATGGATATAGTTGGGTGTGCATAATCTCCTTAGTAAAGGTCTGATTGTGCAGGCTATTGGACTCTTTAACTTTAATTAGGTCAATTTTTTGGTAGTTAAATGGCATTAAATTTTTAAACAGTATAGTGTAGGGAGAGCCATGAGAGTTTTGCTGTAGATAACAAATTATTCCGTCGTCATTTTACTTTGAAATAATGATAAATTGAATCGATAGGTGCTGCTGTAAACATGTACTTATGACTACATACACGTTCTCTTATTTTACGACTATGAAAAAGCACATTTTCCTGAATTACGTGGCAACATTTAACAATATTCAATTTCAAAGCAATATTTTATCTTGCTTTAATCTGGATTATTTTGTTATGCTTCCATTATTGGAATCTTGTAAATTTGCTGATTCATTGCATTGGTTGGTTACTTCAATTGCTACATTAATTTTCTAGGTCTACTCTTTGAGGAGCAAATTATCTCATCACCATTCAGGGCAAATCATTGAATTTCAGAATACCGAAACCGTTATTAGATATTGAATGCCTAAAAGATCAAGTGCTGCAGAATTCAGCTTCGACCTTAGAAATACAAACGCTGCGAGATTTAAGGTCAGGCAAAGTTACTGGTTATATCGAAGTACTGAATGATAAAAATGCTAAAACAGATGATGCAAAAACATCGATGTCACTCACCAGGTTAGATATATTTGCATATGTATTTGCACATGGATGTGCTTGAGTTGGTTTTACGGCCCGAGATCATAAAGTTTTTTCCTTTTTATTCATTTTGTAATAAAGCAAATGCATAAAGAAAGCTTGACAAAACAAGTATTTTTTTAATTTCATGGCTTGTAATATTTTCAAAATGCAACTGAAATTGAAGAAATAATTACTAATGATACTAAACAGTGTATATGGAGGGGGAATTGAATTTAGCAAGGAGTAGAGAAGTAAGAAGAAGGAGAAAAAACAATTGTGTTTGTGGACTTGAATATTATTGGAATGATCTTTAGGTCTCCAGATCCAAAAGGTGTTTCAAATTTTATGGGTTCTGCAAGCAACATTCCTTTTATGCCCGGCAAGCATTTTATTTTTAAATGTTCACTATTGCAACGACAGAAAATGTGTTTTACTTATAAATTATTTTTCTTCTTCAAGGTTGTGGGGCCGAAATTTTTATCTTGTTTCTTGTTTTAATTTTTAATAGCTCTTTATCATGGTGATATGTATATGGATTCCTTAATTTATTTGCCATCCATTGGTCATTTCTTCAAAATCTTATTAAATGTTCTATTCAGGTGGTTTCGATGCGGAAATCGAGAATGTACTTCGTTTGAGTGATGTTGATATATCGACAGATGAAAACTTTGAAGAAGAAGCATATTTGCGTCTCAATGGGAAGCTTTGTAGACTTTCTGGAATATTATTGTCATTTTGAAACAGTTGTGCTCCAGTTGAAAATCACTTTTTTCTGCTCTGGACATAATTTTTTGTCGAGTCTTTTCCACCTCGAGAACAAAATCTTTATTTTATTCTTGGTCTTCAGCTTTAAAACCAGTCGAAATCCAGAAGCATGAATTTATGAGACCTCCAGTTGTGATTTTGTAAGGAAAAGGACGGGTCAGGGCGCGACCTTTTTTACCTGCCAACATTGTGGATGTTGAAGACATTAGATCATAAATAATGTGGAGCTATAGGAATTACAGAATTCTTTTAACTTTTGAAACATTTAAATGTTTCAAACTTATCTTCTTCATCTTGCAGAATGCTCCATATCTGAACTACTCTTTTGCATACCTGGAATAAATGTTGATGGTCTCACTGAAGGTGACATTCACGAAATTCCTCAAAATAGTGTTCATTGCGCTGATGATAATTTGGCTGATTTGCTGGAATCTGTCAACATCAGTAATCCAACATGCTCTTCAAGAACACTTGAAGATGATTCTGAAGGTGCTGAGGAGTCACATAATGAGTCGGAAATTGGTAAAGAAGTGGATAAAGAATTCGAGGCAAGAATTTTGAATTTTCATTGAGTATTGGGCAAAAAAAAACGCACTTGCTATACATCGGCACCAGTTTCATAACTCCAAATTGCAAAATGCCAAAAATTACTATAAAGTTTTTTTTTTTTCTTTTGGATTCCTGAGCAACCCTTCGGTACAATTCAACACAAATTTCATTTTGATTTCTGATAGCACATAAAAATCAAAAATTTGAAATCAGTGCACGCCATCGTAGTTGATAATTACTTTGCGCTGTTTGGGAGTATTTATTTCTATACCATGCCAAAAGAAAATTTTTATTTCTATACCATATTAAAAGAAAAATTTTTTTTTCCCATCACTTTTACTTTTAGGAAGAAGGATATTGGAAATATTTTAAAAACTTGAGATATTTTGAAAATATAGCTTAGATTAAATCGTTAGGAATAAAGAATTTAGGGTTCTCTTTAATAACATCAAAATACTGTCAATTAACTGGAGGAATTTGTATTTTATAATTTTAATTTTAAAAATTTTGGACGATGCATAGTTGTTGGTTTATTAGCAATTTAGTTTTTTTAGCAACTGGTTATCACATTGGACGAGGTTGCACCTTCATCAAGTGGAAAAGATGAGTTACAAGTACAAAATAGAGAATATTCATATGCTCATGTTTTGAATACATCAAAGAATGTTGACGAGTACGAAGTATTGAAAAGTAATATGGCAAGAAAGGTAAAAATCATATGACATATCATTGTTTACTTCGAAAGCAGTCTAGTTTCAATTGGTTTCCCCAACAGGCGGTCGTAATAAATATCTAATTACTGGATAGATTAAATAAGTGTGTGGTGATACAACTCGTTTCATGATTCCCTTTCAACAAATCTGTATATGATCGTGCTTATCGTTTATACTTAAGGTATAGATATAACAATATGTTTTAAGGTAATTAAAATTTTTATTTCAAATTTAGATTTTGATTTTTATGAAAATTTCACAATTTGTAAGAGTTTTTGTATATTAAACAAGAAAATAAATTCTAGTACTAACAAATTTAATTTAAGTGTTAAAAAAATTTAATTTAATTTAAGTGTCTCTACTAAAAATAGCAATTCATTAAAAAATTATGTATTTTTTCAACTTAATGGATTATTTTATATGCATTGCAGTGGGGCTGGTCATATGTGGTATGGTCATCTGATAGTTTAAATAATAAAAAGACTTTAATAATTAAGTTTTGAACAATGTTTCAGTAGCGAAATTAATAAAACCAACTAATCATTGATGTTTAATAGTTTTATAAAGTGTTGAATGTTTCTCAATCTGCTGTCTATCGTTGCTAACAAATTGTATATTTTAGTATCCGTTTGAACTGGATCCATTTCAACAACAAGCAGTTGTCTGTTTAGATCGTGGAGATTCAGTATTTGTTGCCGCTCATACTTCGGCTGGCAAAACCGTTGTTGCTGAGTACGCTGTTGCTTTGTGTAATTTACATAAAACCAGGTAAAACTAATTTTTAAATATATAAGCAATTTTAATATAAAAAAGTGGGACTAGGTTTTATTGCTCAATTTCTCTCACAACATTATAAATGCTTAAGTTATAGTTATGATAGTTCCTTCATCATAAAGACTGAGTTACTAGCAATGTGACAAAATTTAAAAAAAAAAGAATGATTTAAGAGAAAACTTAAAACGAAACAAAAAAAAAAAAAAACAAAAGAAAAACTTAAGTGATTTAATTGGTTGTAGGCATCGCGACTTCATTTGAGGAAGTTATAAGCGGAAGGTCTGATGAGTAGTCATTCTATAACAAGCTCAAAACACGTATGATTTATTGTAGCAGTCAGTAGAAGTAGTCTGTTAAAGAAGTAGTTTAAATTATTATTCATATTTCTTAATAATGGAAATTTCAATTTTACCCTTCTGTAGAGCAATATATACATCGCCGATAAAAGCGCTTTCAAATCAGAAATTTCGCGAATTTAAGCTCATTTTTCAAGATGTTGGTCTCATAACAGGTGATATACAATTGCACCCAGAAGCTTTCTGTCTTATAATGACAACAGAGGTTTTAAGGTTAGTTTTGGTTTTGTTGAATAATTGCTGAAATAATCGTATCATTCTGGGAATTGTTTTATGTAGAAATCTGTGTAGCTTTATATAGAAACTTTTTTTATAGTTCTGTGACCGAAACTTTTAAGAATTAAGGTCGATCATTAACGTATTTTTGTTAGTCTTTAAGAGAGAATGTTTGAAGAAATATTTTGATGTCTTTACTGTAGTTCTTCGTGTACCATTACTTGTAATTGTGGTTGTTTTTCAGATCTATGCTTTATAATGGATCGGAAGTTATTCGCGAATTAGAATGGGTCATATTTGATGAAGTACACTATATCAATGATGCAGAGGTTTGTTCCGATGCCTTAAAAATAATTTCACTAACACACAATATGAGATTACATTATATCATCTCTAGAGAAATAAAAATGAGAATCATAAGTGTTATGAATATTAATGCAGTACTGCACTGATTACAATAAGTAAAGCTATTTACGATACTTTTTCCGAGTGTACATTCATGCTAAGGTTATTAAAATATTTCTTTGAATATATTTGTGCATTAGACTATCTTTGATAGAGATAATTTAAAATTTTTTAAACATTAATCTTGTGCTTTGTATTAGCAGTATTCAGTTGTTTTCACTATCTCACTGCAATAAGGCGTATGGAGTAAATGTAACTGGAACCCGTCAAATAATTTTTTGCGATATTTTTTAGCGTGGACATGTTTGGGAGGAAGTGCTGATTATGTTACCTGCTCATGCTAAAATTGTTATGTTAAGTGCTACAGTGCCTAATTGTGTTGAATTCGCTGATTGGGTTGGGTAAGTATTTGCTTTTTTTAATTTCAAATTCTTGTTACATTAATATTCAGATCTCTTCTTACTCGTCTTAATTTAGTTTCTTTATTAGTGGAAGAAAAAATCAAATTCAGTCTAATCAAGCAATTTTGGGTCAGTCGAAAAATAGTGCGTGTCGCAACCTCATTTTCGTTTTGTCACCTGACTTGAAAGTTTCAGGCGCATTAAAAAGAAGCGAATTTATGTAATTATGACTGCGCGACGTCCTGTTCCACTAGAACACTTTTTATATACTGGACAAGATGGCAAAACTAAAAAGGATATGTTTAAAATTATCGACAGCTGTGGGCAATTTGTTCAAAAAGGGTATCAACTTGACACTGAATTCATTTCATAGATATATTTTGTATTAAGTATTGTCTATGCTCTTGTTGAATCGTCTATATCACGACTAGAACTATCAGTGGTCCAAATCATTATATTCTAAAGCATGAAAACTATGATCTGAATGACTGGATAACTTCACTCAACATTCTGTTTAAAAACATTTTGAAAGCTATTTATTTTTCTAGTTGCTGGTCGTTATATTCACTAGGTTTGAATGTAACGATCTAATTTTTGGCAGTCGGTTATCAAAAGTGTTTCCTGAATGAAATGAAGATTCGGAAAATTTTTTAATGGCAATTTTTCTACTGCATTAGTACACTTTAATTGAATTTTTTGGAAAAAATTTATTGTTTGTTCAAATTTTAAAGGTATTCTCTTGCAAGTGCAGCAAAAGCAAATATACGTAAAGCAAGTGCAAACGTGGGACCTGTTGGTTACCGACCAAATAATAAAATTTTAAGTTATTTGAAAAATTCCTACGACGTTTTTCATTTCATTTATGTTTTAGTCTACAATTGTGTTCGAATTTTATAATCTCCAAAGTTGAAATTTGCATTATTCATCTGTTTTGTTTTTCATATTTTAACATTTCAGGACAAGAATGTTTACATTACTGTTATCGACCATCTACGCATGCAGAACATGTTGCCAGTCATTGTTTTTGTTTTCTCTAGACGAAGGTTTGATTTTCTCATTTTTTATAAGCAAAAAAAAAAAAAAAAGACCCTACTATATCCATCTATTCTTATTGGAGATGATTGAATTTGTTTAAAAATTTCACAGTAACACTGCAGTATTTTGTTTGCATAAGTACAACTTTGAAAGAAAGTGATCTTGTCACTGTTCTTTTTGATTTAAAATCACTTTATGTCCAATATTAATTTATGAATAATTACTATAAAGATGTGATGATAATGCGTATTTGTTGCGATCAATTGATTTGACTACAGAGAAGGAGAAATCCAGTATACATCATTTCTTTTCAAGGTGTATTGCGCGCTTGAGAGGTTCGGACAAAAATCTACCTCAGGTCACTTTTATAACCTAATTTATTAGGAATATTTCTTCATTTGGCCACTGAATGCGATGCTTCTAGTGTTATTATTTATGCATCCAAAAACTATCTTAGATTCTGTTTTGGACTATTTCGTTTCTGTCTGTCATATATATGCTTTCCTGTTTAAATAATTTTGCTATAGCTGCTTTGTTTTAAATAGGTAGTATGGGTGAGGAATCTGAACCGATAAAATAAAAAGTCTTGGAATGGAGTTGATTTTTCCCTTCCTCTTGATATTGTGATCATATTATTGTTTTGCTGTAACAGTGTTATCTTCGATAGCGTGATCACACCTGCATCATCATTTATTCGCAAATTATTTTCAAATTTATTTCTTGAATTAGATCTTGCAAAAAATTGTCGTTAATAATTTGTTCAACTTCAATATAACTATAAAATTATACCAAAATTTATTTCAATTCCAAAGAAATTTCTTAATTCTTCGTAGGTACTACAAATGAAAGAATTATGTAAGCATGGTTTTGCAATACATCACAGCGGTATTTTGCCAATTCTAAAAGAGGTTGTCGAATTGCTGTTCCAGAAAGGACTCGTCAAGGTATTTGCTTCCACAATATAAACGAGTATTTTTAAATTTATTTTCAAGTCATGCATACATACAGTTTTTTCTTTTGAAATGAAATATTGCTGTAAATAGGCAAATTGAAAATTCTTTTCGATGTATAAGAATATTTTTCTGGTTACTAGTTTAATACAAATACTGTAGGTTTTGTTTGCTACTGAAACTTTTGCTATGGGCGTCAATATGCCCGCCCGGACGGTGATTTTTGACTCACTGCAGAAACACGATGGCCGACAGTTGCGTCTGTTGAATCCGGGGGAATATATTCAGGTATTCTACCGTTTTATTTTTACAAATTCTTGCTGTGAAAATTGCAAAAGTTGACGAAGGATATGACATCTGGTTCGCAAAATAACAAGCAGATGAATGATTTACGACTGCTGGTGAAATGTTTAGAAAAATGAAAACTTCTTTAATAGTTTCAGTTGATTACTTGAAATATGGTTATCAGTTTTTTTTTTTTTTTTTTTTTGAATCACGTAGTTAATCAATAAAAAAAATGTTAGGAAGAAAATTTTTAGAGTGATTATCGGGGATGGTTTTTTTAGATGGCTGGTCGAGCGGGGCGACGAGGTCTGGATGCTACTGGGTCCGTAATTGTTTTATGTAAAGGACCTTATGTTCCCGACTATCTAGACCTCGTCAATTGTATGCAGGTAAGATATTCTCACTTTTTCCGTAGTCCTATTATTGTTAGCTATAAATCTTTGAAATAAAATAATTTTTGATGCGTGAAAAAATGTGTTGTGAAAGAGGAAGAGCGAGAGTGGAATGACTGGTACCAACTTTCCTTAACAAAAAAAATAAAAAAAACCCGAAGATTTCTTTTACTATTAATAATATAGTTTTTTTTTTTTTCTTTCTTTTTACTTTGTTATCTGATTTCAATCACTACAGGGCAAACCGACAAAGCTAGAGTCACGGTTTAGAGTAACATACTCAATGCTCCTAAATTTGTTGCGAGTAGAGCATTTGAGTGTCGAGGATGTGCTAAGAAGAAGCTACGTTGAAAGTGCATCACTAAGATTAGCATTGACACAAAAAGCACGCTTAAAACAGGTAAGTAATACATAACATTTGATAGTTATATGTTCTTCTGGTGGAATTTGTTCTTTTTTTTTATGAAATTTATAGTTAAGTCCATGTGCATCATGAGTATGATTCCAAATATAGGTATTAATAAATTTTGGTGCAAAATTTGAAAGTCGGGTTCAGTTTGTTATTTCAAATTTAAGATTTCGTGATGTTTGTTGCACTGTGTCATTGTTTTGTAATACAAACCCGCATTGAAATTCTGTTAAGTGTTATCCATTCTGAAAGAGATCTAAAGTTCTAACACTTAGCCACTTTAGTTTACTTGCCAAGTTATGATAGCGTCATTTGTTGAATATTTAGTATTTTATGTGGTTAAAAATTTTTTGTTTGAAATCTTTTTTATAGTTTAACCTTGACTTTTAATGAAGAAATTCATTTGTCCTTCGGTGAATTATCTCATACGTTTTATAAAATTGAGGTTTCAGACAGAAGAACTGTTGTTACTGAAAAAAGATCCTGATTGTACAACATGTTTTCCTACTGAAGGCAATTCAATTGTTGATTATTACGAAAACTTGAGAATATTCATACGGTATCGAGCTGAATTATGGCCTGAATTAATTCGATTTTCGGTTTTGGATAAATTATTATTGCCAGGACGTCTGGTTATTGTTTGTTTGCCAGAAATTGGACGACTTGCTGCTGTGGCAGTTCTTCTTAAGGTTAGGAAATACTTTTAAAGGGCGTTAAATCGCCCGTCCTAGAGCAGCTTTTTTCTAGATTTGTGATTCTCGTTCGAAGATTCTTGATATCGGCGACTTTTTGAGAGTTTTGTGAGAGAAGTTTTATTCGGATGAAATTTTTTTTGTTCGCTCTTCTTAATTTCTTTTTCACTTCTGTTAATAGTTTTTTTTTTTTTCTTTAAATTGATTGTTTGAGCTAACGGTGGATGGGAATTCAAAGAATATGGCTTTACTGCTATCTGTGGTAGACGATCAACAAGTTACAGAGCATGAAAAGCAAAAAAGAGACCGTTTCACAAGAATGCCACAAGAAGTTAGAGTTGTTATTTGTGCTATTTTCATCTTACTAGTTTTGGGATTTCATGATATCATTGAGATAAATATTCGGCACGTTTAATTAAAGCTTTTTTTCCAGGAGCAACAGGAAATCTGTGAGACAAGCCTATTGCAGTGTGCAGCATTTTATGGTCTTGAAGGACTACCACCACAAAAATTCTCAGATCAAGTGCGAAGAATAGGCACTGTCGTGGATAGTATACCACTCAGTCGTTTGATAGCAGTTTGTCAAAAAACCATGAAGATTGATCCACTGGCAATCATAGATGATATGAAAACAAGGAATTACCCCAGAAATCGGTAGGTCTTTTTTTTTTTCGTTCCTGTGTTTTTGTAAATTTTACTTTTTTTGCTAAACAAGTAGTGCTCAGTCTAAAAAAATGGTGCTACTTCTCGATCTCATTTTCTTCTTTTGTTTTCAACTTATCGGTAGTTATATATATGTATTTTTTTTTTTGATAATACTTGTTGAATGTTATTTCACTTGGTAGGACTAAATCACCAGATCAGGCGGTTCTGAAATTAATTGGTGAAATTGATAATATAGCAGCAAATTGGGACAGCACGAAAAAGGGAAATGTAAAATTACCAGGGCAAGATATACAAGTGAACGATGTTGAAATGTTTCAAAAATTGCGTTATTTGAATGATCTCCGCAATTTACTCATAAATGATGCAAATTTTGCTTGTCAACGGTGTTCGCTATTTCAGGAACATGTGAGTTGTTATTCATCCAATTTTAATCTCACAGAAGCATTTAAATACATACCTGTTATCGCAGGTTTTCACTGTAACGCTTCACTGCTTCTACCTTACTTTCTTCAGTTTTTTCTTTTTATTTCATTGTTTTCTTTATAATTTCAGCATAATATTCTTTAAGTGTATTGTTTGATGTTTTTACAGTTAATGGAAGATTACAGTGCAATTTGATTGACGTTTTTTTTTTTTTTTCATCTTTTTGATAAAAGTCATCAAATTATTTCTTGACAAACTTTAGTTCACATATATACATGATAAAAGAAACCTTCAAGGAAAATGTGATGAGCTTCGTTTAAAGCTTTCAACTGGTGGTTTACTGCTCTCACAGGATTACAGCGATCGTATCAAGGTAATATTTACATTCTTGATTGTCCAGGTTGTATGTTTATTTGTATTCATTTGTTTGCTAGCCTTCCATGTCTTTACTAGTTAACCTCTAAATATTTTCAGCTTTTACGTCGGTTAAATTACATTGATGATTCAAATTTGGTTTCTCTGAAAGGTCGTGTAGCTTGTGAAATACATCATCAGGTATGATGCAGTTCTCATTTTCACTTTCTGTCACTTGGTATGTTTGCATAATATGGTTCAATTGCATAATATGATTCAAAGCAATGCTTTTTGAATTTATGCAAGTCGATTTCCATTTTATGTTAATTTATTTATGGAAAATTTCGTTTTAGTTACAATAAATAATTGTTAATCAGCAACGAAATAGGAAATGAGATACGTGGCAAAACTGTATTTTTAGGAATTGTTGATTACGGAATTGATGCTGGACAATAAATTTCATTATCGTTCAACTGCGGAAATAGCAGCTATGCTTTCAGTAACAACATGTCAGCATAGGTTAAGGGAGGGCGAATGCAGGAAAGATAAGGAAGGTGAAGCGATACAAACGCCACCAGTATTAGAGGAGGTAGAACTGTCTTGTATTTACTAATATAAATCTGTATGGAATTTTATAGGCGAGCATGATTACAAATGTCCAGCTGAGAGAACCCTTCTCTGTTGTTTAATGATTCATAAATTCCTAAAAAGGGGAGAAAGGAAAATATGAAATTTGTAGTATTTTTTGAAAAATATGAATTTATACGTGGCAATTTTTTTCCTAGACCGGAAATGTTCATTTTTTAGTTGAAAGATGACATCATTGAAGTGTGTAACAGAATTGGAAGGATCCAACGGGAATGTGGTGTAAAAGATGTTGACATTTCTGAAGAATTGAGCTTTGGTTTGATGCATGCTGTTTATGAATGGGCCAGTTCCATGGTAAAAGTGCAAAGTTTTTTATCTATTTCAGTCTGTTTCTTAATGTTGTCATGAAATTTCATTTTTCCAGTCACAAAAAGCTAAAATATAGAAAAATATTAAGTTCTTAAAGAAGGTTTGCGGTGCTAACTACTGAAATATCCATTCGTAAATCCATTTGTTCGTCAGATTGTTGAGAGTTCATTGTGCTTTATCGCTGCCCTACAGTTTATTTTTTCTTGTCTCCTTGAAGCTTTTAAGGTTTTTTTTTTTTTTTTTTTCATTTTAATGCCATACTATCTTTGCTTCTTGCAAACTACCTCATTAGATTTTCTTCGGATTTGCAATTGATTAGCTGTAATTTAGCGTCATGATTATAAGAATCATCTCTTGTATTATAATTTAAATTAAATTATTTTAATTAAATTTTATATTTTCTAGCCATTTGCTGAGATAATGCAACTCACTGATGCACAAGAAGGTTTGATTGTACGCTGTATACAAAGATTGGATGAATTATGTCACGATATACGAAATGCCGCACGATTAGTTGGTGATCCTACATTGTATGAGAAAATGGACGATACATCGGCAGCTATCAGAAGAGATATCGTTTTTGCTGCTAGTCTTTATACTGTTCTCGATTAGTATATTAGTGATCAATGTGGGTACAGCAAGAAATTCTTTTAAGTTTATTGCATTTTTTTTTTTTTTGTGCTCATGACAGAAATGGTAGAACTCGTCGTGCTTTTTCGGATAACGTAAGTACTTCGAAATATACTTGCTGTGACTAATTAACAAGAACTAATCGGTAAAAATTAAAAAGAATGCCTTATCAATTTCTTTTTATTGCATTATGGAGAACATATTTGTATCATCGTTGTGATATCATTTCAGTGGTGTTATTTTGTTATCATTTCTTTTTATGTTGTTTTTGTATTGCTCATCATTGTTTCTGGTTTAATCATAGTATCTTATAGCTGAGATCTGGGAATTCGTAACAAACATTAATTGTTGTAACTAACGATGTGCAATAGTATGAGTAGATGTTCGGTTTTAATATTATACATCAAAGTATTATTAAAATTTTCTTGCATTCTGTCTTTTTCTTTAGTTAGCTTCATTGAGATTTTGTTATTTCTATCATTTTTTTTGTATACATTTTTGTATGTTTTGCAATTTTACTGTAAATAATTTCATCTCACATTCCATTTTAAATCTCCTTATTGCCGCAATTAAAATGTCTGTAGAGAATTTATAAAAAGTTTTGGTTCAACTGAAGCATAATTACATTCTCAAAATGCAAGAAATAAATTAAACCTAAGAAATACATAGTAAAGTAAAGATTATAATAGTGGAATTGTTGAAAGGAGTAGCAAGATGACTTGCAGTTTTAAAGAGAGTATAAGAATAAGAGTAGGTCAAATTCTTAGAATTGGTAAGTCTGCTTGTTCGTTAATTTGATACTGGAAACAACGTAAATATGTTAGCCTTTGTTTTCTTTATGAAATTCGTCTTTTTCGTATTTCATCTCTCAGAAATTTTAATTAAATTTAGATACAACAATAAAAAAATTTAGATACGACAACAACTGTCCGATTATTATGTACTTATTATTTATTATTACCGCCTGTTATTACCTATTTCACTTATTCATTCTATTTGGAAAAAAAAAATGAAATGATACAGAATTTCAGTTTCAAAAATTTCATTAACTTCATTTGCTTTAAATTTCTTCAAAATTGTGTCTGTTTTCCTGATTAGAACTGATAATGCATTTAGAATTTTTAAAAAAGTGACATTACAAAAAGGAGGCATAATAATCGATACAAAAGAAAATTGAAGTGTGTTTATATCAAATTTCATAAAAAAGTACATGCAACTTACTAAACGGAATAGGAATAGGAATGATAATGGTAATTATTGATTATTATAATCAGTGGTTTTTTTTAAAATGATAACAGTGATATTAAATGATCATATCTGTAACATTATTCATCATTATCTGATGCTCTAATTGTAATTATAGCAATAATATAACTAGTATTCTACCAGTATTACTTATGTAATCAGTAGTTAACAGTATGAATACAATATCACTATTTGATAGAAAAGGCATTCATCCTGTAGTCATCTTGAATTTAAAAAAGTTAAATTTTAATTTCATAGCAAAAGAAAAATAATAGCCACAGTAAAATAAACAGAGCGGAAATGTATAGAGATTGTAATAATAAGTAGCAGTAAATAATAACAGTAGTGGAGTGGATACTTGAGTGGTAGCAGCAGTTAAAGTTAAGTAAGTGCTTAGATGAGTGGATAATTGAAATGAAAATATTTTATACTTTTAAAATAGGCTAAAACAAAAAGAAAAAAAGAAAGGAAGGAAAAAAAAAATCAAGATTTAAAGCTGTATATCTTCACGTAATTAGGCTTACGTGGTTTCACTTATTTTTGATCATTTAGTATTTTTGATATTTGCAAAAAGAAAAAAAAAATAGGAAAACATCATAAAATACGTGAAAAAAAAAATAGGCAGTAAAATTTATTAATCTATAATCATATCATATATTAATTGAGGTACTATCATTTCTGGCTTTATAGCTACCGGATGATAATTCATTCCTCATCTCAGAAATAGTTGAGGATTGTTCTTTATACATCTTGATTATCAATTAACTGAACTCGTTTCCATGACTGAAAAAAAAAACATAAACTTTTCTTATTAATTAATTAATTAAATTAACTTATTAAAGAAATATTAATCCAATTAAATGAAATTCGGAATACTTCTCAAAAATAAAATAAAACTTCCTATCAAATGCAATACTTCATTCCTTTAGTTTTTGCCGCTTCTTTTACTCTGATAAAAATTGAAATAATAATTTAGACCATTAATTAATAATTATAGAATGCAATAAAAAATGTGACCTTATTTGGCCTATGCCGCATTCGATGCACACCACATCGAAGATCAAACGTTGAGCCAAACTGTAGTTAATGAAATGTTAACTATTGTATTTCAAATTTCTTTTTATCATCTTATACTAGGAATAGTTCAATAAATTACAATAATGAATACTTCAGTAAATTATCATTCATTTACGGGAACCGTACGGCAATATCACGTAAAGATAGTACTACGTAAAAAATGATCAAACTTATTATTTATATCAGTTGAGAGTAGAAAACTAATGTGATACATAAGAAAAAATATAATTCATATAAATTCAGCCAAGAACTTACTTTTTCAAAAACTGTTCGATCGTCATTTTTTGTTATCCAAATGAAATTAATAATAGCTGATAAAATAAATAGTGCTATAACAAAACATACAGATACAGCTAATGGTCCAAGATAATCGATAAATTCAAATTCTTGTTTCGGCATTTAAATTTTCCTCCCTTTATCAAATACAAATAAATAAAACGACAAAATTTAAATGCATTGATTCATTTTTTAAATCGATAAAATAATAATTTTGACCATTAAGATAATTCACATGACAAAAAGACTGGCAGACGCATTTGGATGAACATAAACATCCGGTGATATTTATCATTCAATACACCGAAGCAATGCAAGTACATCTCTCGAAGAATGAAACTGATGTGACAGTTGTGATAGAGAAGCAAAAAAAATTCATCGTCGCGAACGAAATGTGATAAAAATAGATGTGAAGTGGAGCACCTTCGATTGTTGACCTTTGATTTTTCCCAGATTGAAACACAAACATTAGAAAATGCGCTGCTCACTTCTCTGTTAATGTGTTGATCATTTCAAAAAAACGCAGAAATCATTAGTTAAATGAGAGTTTAAACAAGTTGAAATGAATTTTTTTTTTGATGAAAATAATAAAAAGCAAACGATGCATTCGTCATTGTTATCATTTTTTATATCTAATGTTTAACCAATCATTATTTGATTATTTTTCTTCACAACATAATATGTTAAAGTAAGGTTTATTTCTTTTTCCTGGTATTGGAGTTTGCCTTTTTTTCGTTCTTTTTTTGTCCTTTAAAGCTTTTTTTTATTTAGTGATAAGATTTGAAATTTGAAAGCATCTCAACAATTAAGAAATTTTTAAAAAAAGATTAAGAGTGATATTGTAGATTTTTTAATTATTTTATAGGTATGAAATTATACTGTTGTCAAATATTTGCGCACAATTATCCGGAATATCAATCCATAGAATATACATCTGATCGGAACGTTTAATCATTTAATCGTTGAGTATTTTAAAAGATAAACGATTAAAGTAATTGACGTCCTGTCACAATAAAATGCCTATATTTTTATATAATTTGATTTAATTCAGTTATAATGTCATCCAAATTTTTCATCAAATAAAACTAATAGAAAAATAAATGAGAATTTTTGCAATCACTTTTTTTTTCCTACTGTTATTTTTAAAATGGCTAAATTAGAATAGGATTAAAATTAAGACGAAGAAATGCAAATTTTTCTTTATGTAAATAATTAAAGGCGAAAAAGAAAGCATTATTTGCAAACATTTTATACATCATTTATGATGAGAAAGATTTGAAATGATGAAAATGTCGGGAAAAATTTATGGGAAATAATTCTTCATTTATTAGTCTTTTTTAAAGTTTAAAATTTTAAAAGAAAACTTGAAAAAGATTTGAAGAATCATTTCTATCCAACCTTTTTTTCTTTTTGTTACAACCATATGATCTACATGTTCACAACGATGATACATGGTTGGATGGAAACTGAAAACATAAAAATCATACCGGAAATGCTACAAATATATTTTCTACTTTTTTAGTATCTTTTAAAAATCTACAATTAATATTAGACATAATCATGCTAATTCGAAATGTTTTAAAGAACTATGAATGAACAACGAATAACCTAATTTAATTAATGCCTGAATGGCTAGCTCTAGCTAACTAATCCAATAAAGTAACTATTTGAATTTCTATATCATTTGATACTTGTGTAAATAATTAATTTTATGTTGGGCAAAAACTTTAAATTAATTGGTAGCAAATAAAAGAAATAAGAATTGCAGGTGAGTAAACAATAGCAGGAAAACTGAATGCAGCAGCAGTTGACGAAAGCAGTATCACCCCAATTTAGATTGCCATACCCTCCTCCTTTAATGGAATACAAACCTGTTCTATGATCTAGTCGATCAATGCCAGCCCCCACTTAAATCGATTCCCTCAAACTCTACCATGATTACACTTCTGGGGACACTCATAAAAGCCTCTATCCTCTTTTTTCCCTTACTTTCTGTGTTGCTGCATTTATAGCACTTTTCTTATGTCACCAAATTTTGTTTATTTTTAATGTCCTCCCACAAGAATTGCTTATGTCCCAGTGCTTGTTACCTGGGAGAATGAATTGTTTAAACTACAAATGCCATTTCTCATAATCAAATGGATGTGATAGTTTGCATATTACCTTAACAACCAATATGCACCAAATTTATACATCTATAATATACTTAAACAAAAGAAATCCACAGGTATAATTATTTGATTGAAAAATTGTAAAAAAAAAAAAATGTAAAAAATTAGACATAAGCTGTGATAAAAAAACCGACAACTGCTTCAAATTCTAACTTCATTTTTGAACTTGAAAGACATTAAGTTGCAAGTATTTCAACATAAAATAAAAATTTGAAGTAAAAACCTAGCAAAATTAACAAAAACGATTTGTTACTTATCGTTGTTTTTTTTTTCTCCAAATTCTAATATTCCATTCTCTCTCTCAGTGAAAAGTTCTCTTTAATATACAAATTCTTTATGACGACTTCGATAACATTCCGATAATTCAACTGTGGCGACATGCTGATAAAGCTTTAAAATCGAAAATGCACTTAATTCTTATCAATTTATCGTCAACTACAGATAATTGAAAATCAGAATTAATTCATTATTACTATTTGTGTATTGCTGGTCTTCAATGCTGCCCATGCTTGGACAATCTATTTATGCTTCTGTCTCAAAAGTTATCGATTTGTTTATATCATCACTTCGTCTTGATGGCGATTATCACAATTCAACGTTGTTCATTTAGGTGATAAGCACAGAAACCATTTTCTCTAAAGAAAATCACTTTATACCTTCGTTTAGCTACTCGAAAATTAATCCACTTTTTTGACAGGGAAACTACAAATACCGGAAAATACCAATTCAAAAATAACCTGTATCACTAAAAGCATGCTTGACAAAATCTAGGACAGTTCTCTGAGAAGTCGCAAAGAAACGATTCTGTACCCAACTAAGTTTTTTGAGTGGAAATATACTTTAGATTAACAAACATATGGAACAAATAGAAATATACATTAATAAAATATTGGTAGTGACAAACAACTTCACTCAATATCTGAGATCTGGGATGAATTACCTTTCTTATACTTTGACCGATTGTTCTGACTCTTCAAATTCCAACATTCTAATCTTTTTCAGTGCAAAGTCATCTTTAACATCCAAATCATTCTTGGCCATTTCGACAACACTAAGATAATCCAACTGCGGCAACATACTTATACCTTTAAAACTGAAAGAATGATGTATTTGATCAAATAAATTAATTAAATTGTAACTAATACAAAACATAAATTTCAAGAACATTGATGTTTGCAAATTTCGAAATATATCTAAACATGATAAACTATAAGTTAATCAGATTGAGAATTGCGATAATATTAGCGTTTCGTTCATAGTGATAAAGAACAATTTTCACTAAAGGACAAATTTTTTAAAGCTATGGAACTAACCTGGTAATAGGATTATTAAAAAGTCGTAAATGAGTTAAACGACGAAAAGATTCAAAAATGCACAAATTGGTGAATTTATTTCCAGTAAGATCCAAGTGTGTAATAAATGATGACAAATATTTTAAATGGTCAATGCTAAAATACAGGATATACTGTTACATGAAATATAGAAAAAACTTTTTTTTTTTTTTTCATAATTATTCCATCCCTACGAATTCCGACTGCATCATTTTCCATTCATGATGGAGTAAATAGAGAATCTAACAAAAAGGAAAGTTTTTGAGTGAAACCAAAAAACTTGGAACAAATGAAAAGCTGAAAATAATCCTCAAAATAGGATGTTAACGTAGTACACAACTTTCCTAAAATCATAATTGAGAAAGCCTGCATCTTATTTAGTTTACAACAAATCATTCATTATAATTGATCTGAAAAATAATCTAGTTATAGAAACTACTTAAACATCATCCATTTAGCTAATTAAAGGCTCACCAATTGAAAACTGCTTAATAAACGATGGAAAATTGTTTATTTATATTATTGAATTAAAGAAAAAAGAAAAAAAACCTTTTCAGACCCAAATTGTCCAGTTTCAGTTTTCCCACAAAATGACCATCAACTTGTCTGAATAAAATATCTATCCTATGCACATTATCTATCTTCTGGCGTAATTTTTCGTTAATTCGTAAATTCATAGCCATCTCTTCATACATTTCGCATCGCTGTGGATCAACATTTGTAGCTAATTCCTCCAAATTCGTCAAAATTGTTGAAAACATTTTAATCGGTTCTAATTCCAAAATCGCAAAGGTATATGTAAGAAGTGGCCACTGCAAGAGATCTAGTTAAATATATTAGCTTTAACAGCAAATCAACTCAACAAAAAATTTCAAAATAATTATGCCATCAACTTTAATCTGAGATACATTAGTGTAACCGTCACATACGTATAACATGAACGAATTCTGTTGTATAACAAAGTTCTAAAACGAATGAATAACTATCAGAGTGCTTCTTGTGCCACTAAAAAATTTAAAAAGTGCATGAACAGTTGCAGTAACTAAAATTTGAAGCAAATTTTAGACCCAATGTCCAGGATAGACTATTTTCAAAATGATAATCAAATCTGAAAGCTTTCAAAAAAATCGAATTATTATAATACCTTCAAAATCTCCTGTTTCTGTTCAACTTTCAGTTCACTTAACAGTTCCTGACAATTATCCATCAGTTTTTCGATGATAATTCTTCGTGCTTCATTAACTGGTTTGCATTTGATGTGGTAGATGTGATAAATTTCATCAAAATTAACATATCCACTTTCCATATCGATGATTTCATACGGTTCACCAAGTGAAGGACGTAAATGACATTCGGCTATTTCGTCATCGATTTCAAATCGATATGAATTACTAGCACGGAATGTTCTATTATCTACCATTTCGGAATTCTAAATCCGAGAAATGTACAGAGAAAAAAGCCGTAAATTAAGGCACAGAAAGAAATTTTGATAAATATTTCAAACATGAAACCAAAACTGAAAGCTTAAAAATGAATACTTGCAGATAATGCACCTTAAAGGGAGTCCATTGATCACCATTTTTCATTTTTACAACCACAAAATCAGATATCCTTGTCAGCTTTATAGCACGATCAAATGTGACTGATAAATATGAAACTGCCGTATGACTGCATTTGTAAGGAGTGAAATCGAACATCAATCCCAATAAATGGACACTATCAATGTCATCTTGAAAATATAACTTTACTTCTTACAGGTAGCTTCAGTGATTTATATACATTCCTTGAAATTGAACCTGCTTCCCATTTTGTCCCAATATATGAAAACAAATGCGCATAAGAGTACCTCATTTAATCATATATATATATATATATATATATATATATTTAATATATATATATATATATTAAAAAACATTTGGTAAGAAAACAACTAAAATTACTCACATTTTTTTCTCTTTTCATCAGACAGTAAAAGCCATTCAGCAAATATCCAAGCACTTTGATCTTCGGGATCCGTAAAAAACGCATTTTCCAGTTTCTTAAAATAATGAAGATTAACAAAGGTGATAAAACTGAATGATATTTCCTAAAAAAAAAAAAAAAAAAAAGAAAAAAATAAAGACAAAAAAGTGTAAATTGTTATATACCAATAAAAAAAAGAAGGAGGAGAAAATCAGAACATGAGTTGAACAATTTGAGTTTAGTTTAGAGTACAAAATAAATGCATTATTCAGCAAAGGAATTCTATTTTGGGGAATAGAAAAAAATATATTCACAGGTGGTTTAAGTGACTGTCCCAAGCAATCAATCTTATCCGATTCAGAGAAACTATTAAGTAACTAGAATTTTTCGAATCATTAGTGCGAGGTGTTCGCCGCCATTGAGAAGTTATACAATCAGTGAGAAATGCCAGTTACATAAAACATCCTAACAAAAACCTTTAACTCTTCATTTCAATCTATATTATAGAAATCAATAAAAACTTTCAGAACGGGATCAATCCTAAGGAAAGAGAAAAAAACCATACTCGGTATTCATTATATAATGTTGGTTTATCTACAGTTAGCTGATTTTCAGTATCAGGGAATAATGATGGCAGAAGAGACGAACGATAGTGCCATGAGGAATAATTACTGAAGTTTGCATTAATCAATCTATCTGAAAACCTAAAAAGTTAGAATTAATTTCTCTAATTTTAATTCTCACATTCTCTATAATATTACCAGTCTTTAGTATTTAGGAATTAATTTTTCATTTTTTCTTCATTTTCACAGAAGAATATTAAATAGTTCTGAACGAATACTGAAATTTGAAAAAGCCTACAAAGAAATATCAAATAATCTATGTACCAAAACTAACAATTAAATAATCACAATAATCGTTCAACAAACCCACAGTAGATGTACTAATAGCCAACAATTAGTTTAAATTCTATTCGTAATTATTACTTGAGTTCTTCTTCAGCTGAATGAGAACCAAATCGAGCTATTTCTCGCCGGTAGTCCCAGCAATGAAAATTTCTACCATCCAGCTTCAAAAATTTTTCGCAAGCTGCTAATTCCTCCGCTATATCTGGGTTTGACAATTGTTTGAAACACCAAAGACGATAAAACCAGGCACAATATGATTTGGAATTTGCCTTAATGCAGAATATATGAAAATACCCCAGAGTTGATGGTAATGAAGACTAAAACATTTCATAATATTTTCTCTTTGTAGTTTATGTAAATGCTTCGTTTACAACATTTTATTTTAATCTTATAGATTTATAAAACAGCTGACTGCATTTTCAGTTTTATTCTTCAAAACGGATAGGATGTCAGGAATGAAAGAACAATTCAGATCAAATCTATGAAGCAAAAGCAGAAGAGGCAAAATTCTTTGTACATGCAGCAATGTATTTTAAAAAAAAAAAATGATATCCTATAAATTTTTAATACGAAAAATCTGTTTTCTCTAAACGGAAAACGTTATGATTGAACTAACTGAAAAATAAACATTAAATAAAGCAAATACCTTTAAGCTAGCTTCTGTTAATAACAGTTCTGAGAGAAATATGCGATCCTTTCTCTTTGTATTTTCTTCGTCGCTTTCTTCTGATAATTTCTGGAAAAAAAAGTAACTACAGATAACGAATCATTTCATGTATTATTCTGAAATCTTCCTTTATTACGTATTTTATTAATTATTATTTTCTATATGAATTGTCAGTTACATGCTGGCTTATACTGACTATCGCTTACTGAAGAAAGTTACATTCTGAAGATTTCAGGGAAATTTTTTAAGGATGTTGTTACCAAAAATTCTGAAAGTCTTAGAAAAAAAAATTCAAAAAAAAAAAACATTGTTTTTTATATGCAACTTGTACATATAAAATTTCTCACACTTCACATCACCTGCATTTTCACATGTTAAAAAATTAATTAGGATGGATATCCGCAACACTCGCATCAGTTACAACTTTCAGTTACCCAAATAATCTCTAACTTAGCTAGGTTACGGTAAGCCAAAGCTGAATGAATAAAATTCTTCAACCATTGACAATAAATTGATCACTTGGCGACGAATATTCCAAAATGTGTAAATATCTGGGTTTTTTTCAAGCAAAGAAGCTGTTAGTAATAACATTTCCTCGTCCAGTTCACCTATAACGTTCAGATTTGAACTTATAAAAAAACAAGTTTACAAATTTTAATTAAAAACTGCATTTCCTCATCAAATTTATGCGCGATATTAAAAATATATTAAATTAAATATCTAAAGCGATATTAAAAATTAAATATTTAAAGATTTTTAAACATTAAGATGAAAACTCCGACTGTCCCAACTTAAAAATAATCGAAAACAGTCAAGGCAAGCAGTATTACTATCCTTATCTATTTATCAGAATTGAATTATTTGTTAATGGTTACTTGTCTGATTATCCTCTATTTGATATTGAAATACAAAAAATATTTGATATTTGAACACACACAAAAAAAAAAAAAACTTTTTCGTACACAGTTTACAGTTCTAACGCTATGACATTAATAACATTGTTAACTTTGTGAAGTTTTATCTCAGAATTCCATCTAAACAAATTAAGAATGTACAAAACACCAATAACTTCTAAACAGATATATGATACATAAGCAAATTATTTAAATAACGCGAAATATTACCTTTCATCCGTTTCTCAAAGATGCGATCCCTCAATTTACAGTAAATTTTCAATTTTTCAGTCCTTTCTTTTTCTATCTTCAATTTTTGCTCTTCAGTTGTTGCTACTTTCTTCACAAAATGCATCTTTCCTTTTAATCTGAAACTGAGAGAAAAAAGAAGCAAATATATTGTAACATGTAATTCAAATAAATAAAGTAAATAATAAAAATAATATTTTCAGATAGTTACAGTATTTGACAAAATGAATTGATGTAATTCAACTTGAAACAATTTCAAATGTTTCATCAATTTTAAAAACTTCCGCAGCTTTTTTTTTTCAGAATTATTTTTAAAGAAAAATCTTCTTTTTTTTTTTTTTTTTTTTTTTAAAGAAACACCAATATTGTATAGTGACTTTATACTAGTTGAAATTAAAAAATCATATAATATTTCAATTCCGCAAATTTCAAATATTCTTCCAACCAAATATTCTCCAAATGTCGAACACTACCTTTCAACAACTCCCTCAATTTCTTAACCTGTGCTATTTCACAACTTCAATAACTGAACCATTTCTTCACCTCTAACACTTACTTCCATTACTCTTCCTCCCTGCTACAATACTTGCCGCTCCGATTTTTGTGAAGTTTCTCAATCTCTGCCATAACACTATCTCTCACCTTATAGTAATCTCTAGCATTTCTTCGATTAATACAATGTAAACCGATCTTTCATTCCCCTACCCATGCTTCTACCTCTCACCAACCCGTAATCATTCCCACAAAACAGCTCATCCATATCACTCCGCAACCAGCCTAACCTAGTTCAGCCCAGTCTAACCCAGTCCATCTTTTCCTTGCCAACTAGTTCAGCTCGGCCTCACTATGAAATTTAATTGCCAAATGCTCATTACACTGTACGCTGTGAAAAAATTGTCTCCATGCCATTAAATTATTACCCAAAGAAAAAAAACTAATTGTTGGGAAAAAATGTAATTATCCTTACGTTGCTACTCATTTTAACAATGAAAATATTATATGCATAATTATCTCTTATCAAATATATAAGTGAAAAAATTTTACAAACTTTTTTTTTTATCATTGTTAAATTTCAAAAAATTTAACTTAAACACTAATTTAAATTGATAATTAAAAAAAGTTTTCCATCACTACCTGAATCATTTAACTTGATTGTTCTGCTATTTTAATCAAAAATTATACAAAAAAAAAAAAAAAAGGGAATGAAAGATTAATGAATCATTTTTATAAAGTCTCAATATTTTCAATAAATCAATTTAAACATTTAATCATTCAAATGATTAAAAGAAGATATCTGTTTTATGTCTACTAATAGAAACTATTTATTTCCAAAAGAATAATCTGCAAAATTTTTATAGCTTTCTAATTGCTCTCTAATTACTGATTCATAGCTTAATGAATAAATGAAAATAAATTTAGTGGGAATTTTTTTTATCTAAATGGACTTATAACCTTTTACAATTAAACTATCAATTAGTTTTTATCATAAAATATCACCAGAGAAAATAAGGTACTGACAAGATAAGTCATAGGAGACATTATCATTGAAATGTTGAGAGAATTGTATGAATGAAGTGGAATATATAACGAACATAAATAGAAAACATGCATTGCAGTAAGATAGTAATAATTTTTTATTTTATAATTACAAAATGAACAGTATTACCAAAATAATTCAAAACTTAATTAATCTGTTAAAGTTTATCAATGATTAATTTATATTCAATTAAAATTTAACCTCATTTTTTAAAATAGATTTCAAACATCGATCATTATTATGAATGTTTATTACTGAGGAGTCATTTAAAAAAATTGATTCATGTTTATACAGCTTGAGTATAGATATATCGATGATTTGGTATGAATAATGCTAAATTTGAAATCAATACTTCATAATTTGTACGCTTTTTTCGAAACTTTCTTTCTTGTTATCAAATTAGGAAATGAAAAGTTTAATTTACCAAAATTTTGTTTTCCCTAAAAAAGTTCGCAATATTTTTCCCCAGTGTTAAAAATTCTCGCAGTCTAAAAGATTATTATCAGTGTTGAAATTCGAACAGTTGAAAAAATTAACATTTGTTCACATATTTTGTAAGTGATAACAAAGCTATTGCATAAAGGCTCAGGTTTAAACTTTAAATTATCGATTTAGACTTAAATTTGTCCATTTCAAATACATTTAATCATTTATTTTATAGCCACACTGGAGTAAGAAAATTAAAAAAAAAAATTCTGTATTTATGGTATTCTTTATCATATTACACACATATCATTTTAATAAAAATTACATAATTAACTTGTTCATTTTTTCTGCTAAAATATCATTGTATTTTATCTTATCAAATCAATAAATCAATGATAAAATGTCACGTAAATATTTTATAGTGTAATATATAATCAGCATCGAAAATAAATTGATTTTTTATTCTTATTAGGCGAATCAGTTTTTTTTTTTTGCGATAATACCTTAAAATTTTCAAGCTTTAATCAAATAAATCAAAATGTTTATAAAATTATATTGATTTATACATTCGGTTACTATTGATTCGATCGTTGGCAAATTTTGTTTCGCGAAATTTTAAAATGAATTAATAGTTGTGGAATAAATAAATCAAAATTGAAATAAGCAAAACATTATTGAACGAAAAATTATGAGAAACAATTTGCAATTAGATTATAATATGGAAAATAATTCTTCCCCGCGTTTTTTCTCCCTAACAAAAAAAAAGGAATACATTTATTTCAATTCGTTTCATTTTATCCATTATTTATCATTTTTTAACATCACAGCAATGACAAAAAGATAGGAACTATACTAATCAATTGATTTCATTTTATCCTATCATATCTTATCTTCTTTTTTCAACTTCTCTCTTTTATCATCACCTAGACAGACATCTGTTTAAAACGAATGGAACTTGAAACCTTGGAATTTTTTAACCAATCAGTTAATTTACTAAAGCACATAAATCTATAAAAATTATTGCAGCTACATCATTTGTTCATTATCTTAAGAAAAAGAAAGAGAAAAGACAAAGAGAAAAAGAGAGAGGGAGAGGGAGAGAATCACCTTTTCTATACTTTTTCTTTTAACATTACCAAAGTGCATATAGCTATAATTTTTGTTGCAAATTTTTGAATATCAATTTTTGATATTTCGTTGTTTGTTTTATTTTTATATAGCACAAATGCAATATCCTAGGACAAAATTTCAGTATATTTTAATAAGCCTTAGGCTATTAAAATAAAACATTTGCTGCTTGATTGGAATGAACTGTTCCGTATGATTCTATTTAATAGCCTAAGAATTTTTTTTTTTTTTTTGCAATTATAAACTGTTTTTTTTTTTAATGAAAATTCTATCATTCATACCAAATTATTTAACGATTCAATTCCAGGAAATGATTGCATTTTAGCAAATTGCAGAGGAATCGAATAGCATATTTGTTTTCTTCTCATTACGAGATTTAATTAGGAAATTTTTAGCTTTTTTGTTTGTTCCATTATTATCAATAACAAGGTAATCCTATATCACAACTTTTATCATAATTTTATATTTATTTGATCATCACAATTGATTAAAATAATGATTCAAGCCACTCCTGTTGTTTGGACAAAATTTTAATTTTACCAGTCTCAAATTGTCTTATCATGACTTTAATTTTGAATAAGCTGTAGATTATAAACCAGTTGCAAAATTTTTTTTGAAAGATTGGATGTTTTTAAGGTGATAAACTTAGAATAAGGTGTTAAGAAGAGATTTTAAAGTTTTTTTTTTTTTAATTTGAATTTACAAATATCGCTATGCTTTAAATATAATAACACCAAATTATAGTATTTCATGATGTTTACTTTTTTATTTCATTATACTTAAATGTAGGATTATTTTTGCTTTTATAGCTTCTCTCACCATCTTTTTTTTTTTTGTTTTCGTACGAAATTTTGAGTGTCATTAGAATTTACAAATAAATTTAAAATTGATGAGAACAATTTCTCATTATTACACAAACAAAATTTCGATTAAATAATGGCAATTCCATTTGCTTCTTTTATCCCTTCCTTTAGAAAAATTAATTTGAAAAAAAAGGTGAGACAAATTCATTTGTGTCACTTACCAAAATATTCAAATTATTTCATTATGTTATTATTTTATCTTCAAATTTAAACACACGTTTCATTTTTTCTTATTTCTTATTTACTAACAAAGTTTGATTACTATGCAATAAGAAATATAGAAATAATGAAAATTTTATCGCAAAGATTTTTTAAAGAAATATTTTTCATTTAGAAAGCAACCAAAATTTTTACCTTCAATCTAATTTTTTGTTGACTTTTGAAATTTATTGCCAATCAATGAATTAAAATTAAAGCATTATAAATCATTTACATAAACGCTTTCAAAATAATTATTATTCTTGCTACCTGCGCTTTCAATTATCCCTATTGACTATCATTTTTTATCAAATAAGTGACATTTATCAAACAATTATTTTCGTATATATAAAAAAAGAAATATCTAACACGTGTTAATAATAATTTTGGTATGAAATACTTGTAATTTTTGATACCAAGCTTAAAGTTTCAAAAACAACTGTCTGCTTAAAATTTTTTCCTTTTTTTTATAAGTTGCGCATCATCTAAGTGAATTGCAATTAGTTGAACTTATCTTTTCTATTATTTCAATCTGCTAATATGAAAAATATAATTAAAAAAAAAAAAAAGAGGATTCACAACTCTAAATGATTATATATAAACATAAAGAGATATCACGTATTTTCATAATGTTTTTTTAAGAGTTCGCGCGACTTCATCTCACGTGAATAACCCAACAATTAATCAGAATATGTCTGTATTTCCCGAAACAAGATTTTTTTTTTTCTATTTCTTCATACCAAAATGGAACATATTCAGTTTCACCCGGATTTTATTTTTTATCCGGTTTTTTCCATTTTTTTATTAAGTTCAATTCAGTTACATCCGGTTCAATTTCATTTATTTTCAAATATGCTAAGAATTAATTCTGAACAAGAAAAATGGATATAATTAGCATTTTTTTTTTAAATCGTTTTTAAAACTTAAAATTTGATGAAAGTGATTAATTACTGA